TTGTGTCCATCTTTTCATGGTTATCTTCTGAACTGCAGGTAATCTCAATTTAAATTCTTCCCATTGTGCCTGTAGATTGGGTGGGATCTCTGTATCCCAACTAATTCCTAGCATCCACAATTTTTGTATCATAATTTTTGCTTTAATGGTTACAGGTGACAACCAACCAAATGGATCGAATAGTTTTCCAGCATCACTTAGAATTGCTCTTTTTGTGTATTTTGAGCTGAATGACGTGGTATTTATTTTAAATTCAAATTGATCCAATTTAGGACACCATTTTATTCCTAAAATTTTAATCGCTTGGTCGTTGTTAAATTGCATCTCTAACCCTGGTTCAATGTCTTTTATCTGGATATTCGTCAACATTTCCGGTTCGTTTGATGCCCATTTTCTTAAATTAAAACCTCCCTTCCGCAATAATTGGATTAATTCTTCTTGTACTTGTTTACACTCTTTAATCGTATTAGCGCCTCCCAAACAATCGTCTACATAAAATTTTTCATTTAAGGTTTCACTTGCCAAAGGATAATTAATTCTCTCGTCTTCTGCTAGCTTAAACAACGTCTTGATGGCAAGATATGGTGCTGATGCAGTACCATATGTAATCGTGTTCAATTTGTATTCTTTTATTGGTTTTTTCTGATCGTTTCTCCATAAAATTCGTTGAAGATCTCTATCATCATGATGAATCAGTATTTGCCGATACATTTTTTCAATGTCAGCCGTAAAAACTATTTTAAATATTCTCCACTGCAATAATATGTAGAATGAATAAATCCTTTTGTAATGTAGGACCTGTCATCATAATACTGTTCAGTGATTGTCCTGATGTCGTTTTCGCGGACGCATCAAACACCACTCGAAGTTTTGTTGTCGTGCTGTCTTCTTTAATAACTGCATGATGCGGCAAATAATATACCTTTGTCTTTGGTTTCTCATTAACTTCCTTCATATGACCCAGCTTGATGTACTCTTTCATAACGTTCATATACTCTTGCTTTAGTGCTGGATTCTTCTTAAATCGTTTTTCCAATGAAAAAAACCGTTTTAATGCCATCTTTCTGGATTCACCTAACGTTTCTCGATCATTTTTCAGTGGTAACCTAACGATGTATCGTCCTGTTTTATCGCGGGTGCAAGTTGAATCATAATGTCGCTCACAACGCCTTTCTTCTACTGTTCTTAAGTCTGCATTTGGAATTTCCTCTAATTCCCAAAACCGGTTTAAATACTCGTCGCTGCTTTCGCAAGCCATGGAGCATAACATTATTTTGTTTGTGATTGTACGCTCTACATCTAAAGGTCCTGATAATATCCATCCAAATAGTGTGTTTTGAGCCATTGGAGCGTTGTCTGGCCCTTTAATTAATCCTTCTTTAAACACTTCTGGTAATACGTCCGACCCGATTAACAATTGTATTTCCTTTGGTTCAGCATACCAAGGATCTGCTAACTGCAATCCATCAATATGCGACCATTTTCCTGGCGTGAATTCTGCTTTTGGCATTTTTGATGTGATTTTTGGTAACACTATTGCTTCGATATGACAGCTCTTATTTTCATCATGTATAGATTAATTTCTAATGAACATTTGGCTATAACGCTTGTTGTTTGTCCATTGATACCTTTTACATGAGTTTGATAATTGGTCAGTGGTGCTCTGATTGATCTTGCTAATTGTTCTGTTATTATACAAGATTGTGATCCTTGATCAAGAAGCGCTCGTATCGGTTTAACTTGTTTTTTAGTCCTTATAATTACCATTGCTGTTGCTAGTAAAACAGTTTTTTCCTTTTGGATGTTGTACGACGCTGCCACTTCGGTCTCTGTGGTGTTCTTCAATGTTGGCATCCTCTGTTTACTTATGTTATTTGTGACTGTTGGTTTGCCCTTAACTTGTTCATGAATAAGTTGATGGTGTTTTTTGTCGCAAATTGCACATCTTTTTTTATTCAAGCACAACTTACTAAAATGCCCACTCTGAAGGCAATTAAAACATAATTTGGCGCTCATAATCTTTTCACGACGTTCCGGCACCTTCATATTCAGAAACTTTGAACATCGAATCAATTGGTGGTCACCATTACACACTAAACATAGCGTATGTATTGTATTTACATGCGTTTTTGTATTTACTGCTGTTGGTCGAAAATTATTCTTATTTTCGCGATTTGTGTCACGAATTGCCTCCAATCCTCTAACTCTGCTCTCGATAAACTCGTATAAGCTGCTCAATTTCGGTATTTGTGTTGATGCCCCTCTTGAATGTTGGTATAATTTTCTGGTTTCACCATCTAATTTTGGAAGCAGTATCTGTATAATTAGTGGATCCCAACTTGACGTGTCCACATTTAAATTACGTATACCATATAACACTTCTCTAGAAGAATCCACTAATGTTTTTAAATCCTGTACATTCTCATTTCTTATAGCTCTGAGCGACAATAACATATTGATAAGATTGTCCACAAGTATTGCTGGATTGTTGTATCTTTGTTTCAGTAGTTCAACTGCCGCTGTATAATTGTTCGCTGTTATTGTTAAATGATTGATAAGTCTGGCGGCTTCTCCACGTAGACTTCCTTTTAAGTACTGCATCCTTTCTACATCCACTAGATTATGGTTTTGTTGAACTAACCGGTCGAACAATTCCCAAAATGGACACCACTCTTCAAATCTGCCGCTGAATATTGGTACATTCAACGGTGGTAGTTTGATATTGTTACTTACGGTTGTTCTAGTTTCTGGAACGTTTTGACTGCGAACGTTCAGTTCTTCTTGTAACTGGATATATACGTCTTCGTATATCGATTCCAGTTGAATGAAATATCCTTGGTCTATTTCATCATTGTTAAACAGACATTCATCGTTTAATTGTGAGATCTTTGCCCAACAATTCTTCAATTTTTCCAATTTGAACTGTAACGTTTCAATACTTTTCGTTAAGTCTATTGTCTCTTTGATCTGCAACAGACTTGTACTTAAGATTGCTAAACGTTTGTTCGTAATATCACATGGCCCGGTGATGCTGACTTCGTCATTGATACTTATGTCCTGATTCCTTGGTGACCGAGCTTCTTCTTGCCCTCTTATAACTTGATGCCTTGAAACTTGAGCTTCCTTTTGCTCCATTTGCCTTATTATTTCCAATTCATTATTAAATCGATTTTCGATTTCATTCCGTCTTTGTTGTAACTGGCCATAGTAATTTTTTGTGATATATTCATGATCAGGCTTCAAATTCTTGATCAGATTATCATTGTTGTCTTCAAATGCGTCCCATTTCTGACGCAAATTTTCCAAACGTGTCTCAAAATACTGCTTTGAATATCTTGTAGAAGAATCCTTTTTAAAATTTATCCAGATCCTCTGGATCTCACCTTCAATGTCCTTTTGATGTTGGATAACTTGTTCGATCTCCATGATGTCCTCTGTTAGTATTTGATTTGATTTGTTGAGTGCCTCGGTACGCTTCTGCTTGTTTCACTTCGATGGTACGTTTGCATTCACTTCACTCCGAAGTTAAAAGCCTCGGTAGGCTTGTATTAACTTCACTCCGATGTTAAAAGCCTCGGTACGCTTGTATAAACTTCACTCCGATGTTGAAAGCCTCGGTACGCTTGTATTAACTTCACTCCGATGTTAAAAGCCTCGGTACGCTTGTATTAACTTCACTCCGATGTTAAAAGCCTCGGTACGCTTGTATTAACTTCACTCCGATGTTGAAAGCCTCGGTACGCTTGTATTAACTTCACTCCGATGTTAAAAGCCTCGGTACGCTTGTATTAACTTCACTCTGATGTTAAAAGCCTCGGTACGCTTGTATTAACTTCACTCCGATGTTAGAAACCTCGGTACGTTTGTATTAACTTCAATCTTAGACTTTAAGTCTCTTTGTTAGGTATATTTGAAACTCTTACCACTGGTGGGGGAAATTTCAAATATCCGGCTCGAAGGACCAAAAATGAACAAGAATGTTCATTAACAATCTTTATGTCCCTTACCACTGGTGGGGGGAAACAATAAATGATTGGTGAGACGTTGATTTACTTTCAACAACTGATTTTATTTAAATTGATTTGTTCTTTTATACAAAATAAAATGCAACCGTAATTGCAAAACATACAATAAATAAAATAACTTATTGCTTAATTCGCACAAATTGCTTAATAAGCAATAGTTGCGAATGCTTTACTTATGACCTAATTTTTACTTTTTGTTGATTCGTCAACCAAGAAATTAAGCAACAGGTGTGAGCGATTAACTCATGACCTAGTTCTTAATTTTTTGTTGATTCGTCAACATAACTGAATTGACAAACAAATACTTGGGTATTTTTAACAAGGCATTTATCGAAATGCAAGAGGTAGAAAATGCTCAGGAAAAGCCGCCAAGGCAACACAATCAAAATCCAATGCAGCTTCAACAAAATGAAGAATTATCAAGAGTGTTGCGTAATCAACGAGCACTCATAAATGTCATTGACAGATCCAGTCAAAAAATTGAAATGGCAAGCCAAGAATCTCAAAATGAAGTTTTTTATTCTTGCAAGCTTGCTTTCATAGAAGGTTATCACAAAGCATTCGATAACAACAATGAAAAAATATGGAATTCTACATCAGAAGAATTCATTGAAAGGTACTCCTGGGAATTGTATTATGAAATTAGTCAAAAACTCCAAGACATGGAGATTTGTTTGAAACTCAAGCTAAAATCATCCAATTCTCACTACCAGCACAATTCAACAATTCAGGCAGTTAAATTACCACAGTTAACGATTCCAACATTTGACGGAAACCAGCTGAAGTGGGTAGAGTTTCGAGACCTGTTTACACAACTTATAGACGAACAACCATTCAAACCTCTCCAAAAGATGTTCTACTTAACAACTAACTTGATTGGTGATCCCAAAAAGCTGATAAAGCATTTGCCAGCATCAGCTGAGAACTACATTACCGCATGGGAGATTCTGAAGGCTAGATACAATAATGGTAGATTATTAGTTACCGCATTGTTAAACAAATTATTCGCATTACCAGCAATGACAACTGAAACCGCTTCTGGCCTTAAAACATTGCATGATATTTCACAAGAGTGTTTATTGGGACTTAAGGCGCAGCACATTCCAGTCGAACATTGGGACGTCATAATTGTTCATATGACGTTGAAGAAATAAGACAAGATCACACAAACAGCATTTGAGCAGTCATTATCAAACAATCGAGAGCTGATCACTATGAAGGAACTATTTCAATTTATTGAACAAAGGTTCCAATCGCTAGAAACAATAAATAATAGCGCATCAATCAAAAAATGGGTTAAGACAGTGGCTACAACTAACACTGCACCAGTTAAATGTCCAATATGCAAGAGAGATAATCATCCAATTCATCTATGCAAGCAGTTCCTGGATGACACCCCAGCTAAGAGGCTACATCTCATAAAATCATTGCAACGATGTTTCAATTGTCTAAAAAATGGTCACTTCACAAAAGACTGCACATCAGGCAGTTGCTTAAAATGCAGCAAGAAACACAACACCTTGCTGCATTTAGAAGGCACATTTGAAGCATCTATGATTAAGAAGGCATCCATATCAAAAAATCCTGATTCTCTGTTCTCCAACAATCTCAACATCCAAAAAAATTATGTGGTATTAGGAACTGCACGTGTTGTCGTTAAAGGCAACAATGGAAGAGAAATTGAGTGCAGAGCATTATTGGATTCCGGCTCCCAAGTCAACCTGATAACCGATCAAATAATTAAGAAGTTAGGTGAAAACCCGAAAAAGACCTCAGCATGTATAGAAGGTGTGGGGCAAAAAAAAAACAAGATGCGCAACAACGAATCAATTTAGCTTTCTCGTCCAGAATTAACGGATTTAGCAGCCGAATAGAGGCTTATGTATTACCTAAGATTGTGTGTGACCAGCCGAGCATTCATATTGAAAGCTCAAGCTGGAAAATACCACAGAACATCAATCTGGCAGATCCGTCGTTCAATACCCCAAACAAAATCGATCTCCTACTTGGAGCCGAGTTTTCTCATCAACTATTGTCCATCGGCCAAATAAACCTTGGCAGAGGTCTCCCCATCCTACAGAATACATTGCTTGGGTGGCTTGTGGTGGGAAAAATATCTAACCAAAATTCAATTATTTCACCACAAGTTTGTGGAATATGCTCTGAAGATGAGCAAGATACGATGAAGGTTATCGAGCGGTTCTGGCAACTAGATGAACCAGAAAAGGCAAACAAAAATCTATCTCCTTCCGAAGAGTTGTGCGAGTCTCATTTTGCAACTTATATGAAAAGGAATCAAGACGGTCGATTCAGTGTCAGATTACCCTTCAAGCAAGATCCATCGTTGCTTGGTGAGTCAAAACACATTGCCATTAACAGGTTTTTAGCGTTGGAAAGAAGACTCGATAAGGATGTAATACTCAAAACACAGTATGTACAGTTCATGAATGAATATGCTGATCTCGGACACATGGAAAGGGTTGACATCAACCAAGTTAATCCTCATTATGTCATCCCACATCATGGCGTTTTACGGCCCGATAGCAGCACCACGAAATTAAGAGTGGTGTTTGATGCATCGTGCAAGACGAGTAGTGGACTATCGTTAAATGATACAATGTTTACTGGCCCTACAATTCAAGAGGAATTGTTTGCGATTTTACTTCGATTCAGGTGCCCAAGATTTGACTTTTGTTCTGACATTCAAAAAATGTACAGACAAATTATTATTCAGCCCGAAGATCAAAGATATCAATTAATAGTCTGGAGAAGCAATAATAACGAACCCTTACAATTTTATCGATTAAAAACAGTCACCTATGGAACACGATCCGCCCCATATCTGGCTACTAAATGCTTACAACAGTTGGCGAAATCTGAGTTGCAAAAATATCCACTAGGTGCAGCAGCACTAAGTAATGACTTCTACGTAGATGATTGCCTAAGTGGATCAAATAGTCTCCAAACTGCCAAAGATATACAAACTCAGTTAAAAGGTTTGTTGGAATCAGCAGGATTCAAGCTACGTAAATGGTGTGCCAACCATCCGTCACTTCTTCAAAATATTGCAAAAGAAGATCAAGAAGTTGATTTGGACTTTCAAAGTGACGACGCAACATCAATCAAAACATTAGGATTGACTTGGCAACCAAAAGAAGATCAATTTCGCATAAAATTAAAACTGGATCCATTAAAAATCATTACTAAAAGCACCATTACTTCGAACCTAGCCAAAATTTTCGACCCATTGGGATTACTAGGTCCAGTACTCGTAACAGCAAAAATACTAATTCAGGACCTATGGCAATTACAATTAACGTGGGACGAAGCAGTACCAGCCGAAATATACACTAGGTGGACTACCTTTTATTACGATCTACAAGTACTAGATCAATTTAAAATAGATCGTCATATATTCGGAAAACAGATGCCAGCACTTGAATCAATACAATTGCACGTATTTTGTGATGCTTCACAAAAGGCATACGGAGCCGCAGTCTACGTTCGAGCGAAACTAATGGATGGTCGACTAATAAATAGATTGTTGTGTTCCAAGTCTCGTGTTGCTCCACTCAAAAAACAAACGATTCCAAGGTTAGAACTGTGTTCAGCTCTATTAGGAGCGACATTGATGAAAAAGGTTAAGAACAATATAAATCATGATGTAGCAACATATTATTGGACTGATTCAGAAATCGTTCTCTTCTGGATCAACTCTTCATCAGCAAGGCATCAACAGTTCATAGCAAATAGAATCAATGCAATTCAGGAAATTAGCTTGCCTAATCAATGGCGTCACGTAAGATCTAAGGATAACCCAGCTGACTCATTATCACGGGGTATCAAGCCAGCTCAATTACTCGAAAATAACTTGTGGTTATACGGTCCACTCTTTCTTCATGGTTCCGAAAGCAACTGGCCTGGCGAATTCAATAAAACTCTCTGTATTGATCCGGTGAATCCTGAATGGAAACAAACGACAAGGGAAGTGGCCTTAATCTCAACTGATTACGATATCCATTGGATCGATAGAATCAATCACAGGAATTCATTTAGAACTCTACTACATACGGTGGGATATATGCTGCGATTTGTAAATCGGGCAAGGCGAACCAATTTAAGCAATATCACTATGGCTCTAAGCCCTATCGAACTGGAGCTGTCACTCAGGCATATAGTGAAGTACATACAACAGTCAGAACTAAAAGAAGAATTAAATCAGTTAGAACGCAACTAAACAGTAAAACCTGCAAGTACACTTGCTGGACTGATGCCATTTTTAGATGAACACAAGATAATTAGCGTGGGGGGAAGGTTAGAAGCATCATCACTTACATATGATGAAAAGCATCAGATAGTCCTTCCATACAATAACCCTATTGTAAAACTGGTAATGAAAGACATACATGAACGAAATATGCACTGCGGCGGTCAAGCACTGCTGGCAGCAGCGAGACAAAAATTTTGGCCGATCAAGGGTAAAATTATGGCAAGATCAACTATTCACCATTGCGTTCGTTGTACTAGATGTAAACCAATTACTTTTGAACAAGTCATGGGAAGTTTACCAAGGCATCGAGTACAGCCAAACAGGCCATTTTTTAATACCGGAGTTGACTTCTGTGGGCCTTTTTGGGTGCATTATAAGGTGAGAGGAAAACGTCCGCATAAGGCATACCTAGCAGTTTATTGTTGTTTTGCGACAAAGGCAGTACACTTGGAACTGGTAAGCGACTTGACAACAGAAGCATTTATCGGATCATTAAAACGTTTTATCGCACGACGCGGATGCTGCCAAAATATATACTGTGACAATGCAACGAATTTTGTCGGTGCCTCTAACAAGTTGCAGGAATTAACAACAACAATCCATTCCAATGTAGCTCAGGAACAAATAACAAAAACTTGCAGCAACAAAGGAATAGCATTTCACTTCATCCCTCCTCGTGCACCTCATTTTGGTGGACTATGGGAAGCAGCGGTTAAATCAGCAAAGTACCTATTGGTCCGAAGCGTTTCAACTGAAACGTTAACGTACGAGGAACTCGAAACCGTCATTATAGAAATAGAAGCTGTTTTAAACTCACGACCTTTAACACCAATGTCGTCTAATCCAAATGATTTGCAGGCTCTCACACCAGGTCATTTCTTAGTTGGTGATGCACTAACAGCACCCGTAGACGCAACATGTGAAAAGGTAAAATCATCTCTTTTGAGTAGATGGAATCTGGTTGCACACTTAAAACAAGAGTTTTGGAAAAGATGGCGGGCAGAGTACCTAATGGAACTACAGGTTCGAAACAAGTGGCGTGAAGAATGCAAAAACATTGAAGAAAATACACTGGTGATCCTTAAGGAAGATAATGTACAACCTTTGCAATGGCCTTTAGGGCGAATAATGAAGACATATAAGGGTAATGATGGATTTATACGAGTCGTAGATGTCAAAACCGCAACAGGCATGTTAAAGCGACCAATTCACAAACTAGCACCCTTATTTCCTGAAAACAAACCTATTAAAACACAGGAGAATCGCCATAACAAAGAAGAACGAATGGACAATGAGATAGTCCCACGAAAACAAAGACGTGTGTCCTCCAATATAAAATTAACTACAGTACTGATATCTCTACTTTTACTCCCGATTGTTCTTTGTTCACCAGTAAACGTAACTGAACTTCGCTCCGCTCCTGGCATACATTTTGAACAAGTAGGAACAACAAAATTGATAACATCCCACTGGAAAATGATAATCTATTACGATTTAGCTCCATTTAATACAGAGCTGGACATACTAAAGGATTCAACGTTGAATCTTTTGAAGCTATGTGATCAAAGCAACTTAAACTCAACATGCAAGTTTGTGGTTCATCATTTCCAGCAAGCAGAAATTGAATTAAGAACAGCATTTGAATTTATGTCAAGCGCCCGAAATAAGAGAGGGGCAATCGATTTAGTTGGGAATATAGCAAGTTCCCTGTTTGGAGTACTCGATTCCAATTATGCAAGTGACATGTCGAAGACGATCAAAACCCTAGAAGATCATGATGACAAACTCAAACATCTGCTCAAAAATCAAATATCAATAATTGACTCCACAATAAACGTTATAAAAAAAAACCAGATAAGTCTCAAAAATAATTTCCAGGGTATAGAGACTCAATTAAACGCGATCTCCAAAAGGTTAGTTAAGGACGAACATGACAATTATATGGCAATATTATTAACATGCTGACCATCCAAATGACAATCGCCACGATAAATTTGCAACGTACGCAATCCACAATCATGGATGTTCTCATTGATAGTCA